TACAGCTCAAATTTGTCTCTTTATTTTTCTTCTTTTTTTTTTTTTCTCTTTGTTTTGTATGTATCGAAGCCAACTCCAGCTTGATCCAAAATAGAAACAACTAATTAGATTAATGTTTCAAAAATTTGCTTTAAAAAAGTTAAGTAGGGATTGTAGATCAGGTTCATGAATACAGTTATGCAAGTATAAAAAAAATAAAGTTGTGAATTCTCTATTAATTATAACTTTTTGTGTAGTGGTCAATGCTTGATCCTGACAATTTGTATCAGAGCAAGTCAGGCTTTCTAATCACAGATTGAAAGCATATTGTGCAGTTGAAGCCGGCGGCTTGGAGGGCCGAATTCAACATCCCATTGAAACTTGCACCTTTGCTAATAGCTAAGTGTGAGAAATTGCTCTTCAAATGTTATTCCACCGTGACCAGGCAACCAGTGGCGACTCCCAAGAGGTTATTTTGGCGTGATTTTCAAGTGTAAATAGCTTGGAGCCGTTGTTTTGACTAATCTTTTGATCCCTTAGTTTCTCTCTCTATGTCTTCTTCAATAGAAACTCTCTCAAACCCTTCTATATTGTAATCCATCGACATTATTGAAGATCTAAAGGAAGAATATTGAAGATCTAAAGCAAGAATTCAACATGTAATTGCTTTTCAATCTTCAATTTCAGATTTAATCTTCCTATTTCCATAATCAAAGCTAAGTGTTCATTTTAATTGCAATTTACTTTCCTTTCAAATGCTTCCATTGATTCTTCATCTTAGCTATTCAATTGTGACAATGTCTAGCTAATTATTAGGGAATTAGGATTAGGTTTACTTGTTAGGATGCTAGAATGTTTTGATTGCAATTAAGAAGTGACTTGATGTATTGACTTGATTCTTATTGGAAGTGGATTTTGTATAGACTATTGTGTGGTGATGGCCATATCACGCAATAGGTCTTGTGGGTGTGTAGTTGCCAAGAGATTGAGACTACACTATAGTCTAATCCACTAGCATTTCTCACCTTGTACCGAGAAGTAGAGCTCGGGAGAAAATGTGGACTCTAAGTGTTCGATGAAATGTCTCAAGTAGTAAGGTTGCTATGAGAGTAGGATTTTACTACTTGATAGACCAAATAAACCACGAGAGTGGCCTGGCGATGGAAACATCGATCTTCCAAGAATCATGATCAATGCAATAGACTACTTCCTATACATAGGGTCATTCTATTGCATCGACCCAAGGAACACCTAGTCACAGTCCCCTCCATTCATTTACTTGCTTCTTTAAATTTACGTGCTGCTTTACTTTCACTCATTACTTTGATAATGCTCTTTGTTTAAGTCTTGAGACCTAGCTTTCTATGACTCTTACGCACTTGTGCTTAGCCGTGCATTGTTCGATTCTCATTCGTCATTCTTAGAGAACGACATCCCCGGAAAATTTCATCTTCCTCGCATCTTCTTTCCATCCACGTATGCTACTACGGATATCAAAGATGTTAAGGAGAAAAGAAATGCATGGTTAAAGATTAAGAATTAAAACATTTCGCTTGTTTGGTGATTATAAAACTAGACTAGACAAGACTAGACTTGACAAATAATTATGAACAAAATTAAAGCTAAATTTCAATAATAAATAGATAATTGGGGTGGGGGGAAAGCGTTATACCGTGGACCCTGGACCTAAATGACGTAGTTTTGAATTTTAATTTTTGACGCTGATTGTTTATTGTTCAATTCACGTTATAGTTTTTGGTTTTTTTTTTTTTTTTTTTTTTTTTTTTTTTTTTCTTTTTACTGTAAAACATGTGTATGTGTCTTGTGTTATGCAATTCTATACCCTAAACGCATGGATTCTATATCTGAAAGAGATTGGTATAATTCTGTAACACACAACATATTGTGTGACTTATTTTACAAATTTATATCATGTATTATGAAATTATGTAACTATAGGACATATATTTCAACACAAAACAGATTTGAGAATAAGTAATATATAACATGTGTATGTGTCTTGTGTAATGAGTTTTTATGTCTCGTGTTATAAAATTTTGTACCTTAAAAATATTTATTATGTACCTAAAATAAATAAAAATTTGTATTGATTAAAGAAACAAGAAACTACAAAGTCTGTTAAAACTTAAATATCAAAACTTTCTCGATTGCCAAAAAATGAAAGCAAGCTAAGTATGATTTTTCTTTGAGAAGAAACAAAACAAAATAAACAGGTGTATGCATTCTTATTTAACTACTTACCCTTAGTCATGCTAAGTATGATTTTTCTTTGAGAAGAAACAAAACACAATAAACAGGTGTATGCATTCTTATTTAACTACTTACCCTTATTCATTGGTCATTGATGGTAGCAAAAATAAGATGTGAGCTCCGGTGTTTTATGTCGTCCTCAGGGGATTGGTTGTTATGACATGTAATATGCAATAACAAGAAACTAGGCACTAGCACTAAGAAATCAACAAGAAGCTAAGCAATACATAGTTTAAAGGTTATGGTAATGCTTTGGCCGAGGTAGTCCTCGGCCTTTTGCCATAGCCGGGGCGGTCCTCGGCCTTTGCCATTGCCGAGGCGGTCCTCGGTCGTGGGGACCGAGACCTCCTCAGCCACCAACCGAGGCAAGCCTCGGCTCTCCCATGGCCAAGTGAAGTGCACCTAATTGTGCACATTTTTAGTATTAATTTGATTATATTTATTAGGCTTGAGTTCATGATTGTGGTAATTTAATTGCATAATTTTTTATTTTATTATTTAATTATGGTTCACACTTGTTTTGAATTTTTACGGTGTTTGTTAGTGTTTTTGAACCATTGTAGGTCAAAGTTATGAGCAAGGGAAGTCTTAGGACAAATTTGGAGTCAAAATGGACCAAAAAACACGTGCACAGTAATCTTGACACGTCCAAAAATTCCAGAGAACGACTTGGTCGAGACCAGCAGGTCTCGGCGCGTCAAGCTAAAGCTCGACGTGTTGAGCCATCTTCACGCGAAACAATTAAAGCGCTGAATTGGCGGCAAAGCTTCACTAAACAAAAGCATTAAATCAACTATAGTATAAAGGATGAGCCCATGTCACTTGGGGGGACGCTGAAACTCAGTACTAGATTCTTAAACAATACAAAATCACTCGATACAATTATTCCGATAACATATTTATCGTCAACTATATAAAGTGGAGATTTGGATTTCATTATTCACGACTTCAATGCACTAATTCGAAGGATCAATCTATTATATTAAGATGGTTATATTTCTATATTAAGTTGACAAAATCTCTGCAAGGTTATGTCAAGGAGCATATTTTTGCAGTGTTGCAAAAATCGTACCTAGGCGCCGATTTAGGCGCTAGGCGGCGGGGGACCGCCGTGAGGAATGGACTCCGCGGCCGGCCGCCTAGCCGGTCGGTTCGGCGTTTTATTTTTTTTGAAAACTGTTAAAAGTTCGGCAAGGCATAACTTTTGACTCGGTTGTCCATTTTGGACAATTTTTTTTAAATCGCGTATTTTTTTCGAGATCTATACACCGCAAACAGCCAAAGGCGGTTTGGTCCACTAATTTCTCAAAAAAATGCTTCTTTAGCTCTTAATTTAAGTTTTTTTTTTTTTTTTTTTTTTTTTTTTTTTTTTTTTTTTATGTATTTAGATGGTTTAAACAATCTTTTGAACAATTTTACAACCACTTTCGTAAATAGTTTCTAAGAAATAACTATGTGAACCTTATGTTTTATTAGTGAATTTTAATAATTTTTAATTTTTAATTTTTTTTAATTGTAAAAAATTTTTAAAAAAATTTAAAAAGATTTTTAAAAAAATTAAAAAAGAAAAAATCGGCGCCTAGGGGGCTCCTAACGTGTTTTGCAATCTTGTATTTTTGCGTGGTGAAGTTTGAAGATTATTCTTGGCACGCACGAACCTTTCCAACATAGATGTTTTGAAGATTAAGTTGGTGTATTTGGATGAGGCCTTTTTGTGTATGTGATTATGTCATACATACCCCTGTAATCTTGGTGAACATATAGTGGATTGAGCTGACATGAGTTTCTGCGCTGACGTAGGAGTTTTAGCTCCGATCTGCGTTACCAATTGTTGTGTCCTTAGTTCTTTTTTCTTTACTTATTTTTTATTGTGTTCTTTCATTGTGTGAAAGTCATGACTAAATTAAGATAAGTAATTGGATTAAAATTTAAGTAGAACTTGTAGGAACCACTTGCATTCAAGATCCACGATTCTTTTTCAATTTTTTTTTTGACTAGAATGAGTATTTGTTGTTGATAGCCAAATGGTGGAAAATATGAAAAACAACTTCCAAAAAATGACTTCCCGAAGTCATTTCCTAGAATTTTCAATGTTTGACTATCAACGAAAAATGAAGTTAACAAAAACTACTCATTCTGATCAAGGAAAAATGAAGTTAATGAAAAATACTTACTAAGACATATTACTTTTTATTTATAAAACATTATATTTTTATTTAAAAATATTACATTTTTATTCAGAAACATTATATTTCCATTGAAAATTATTTCATCATGTGCATAGTTGAAATTGATTAACTTAATACTTAATTTTGTTTCATTAGCAGAAAAAAAAAAATAAAAAAGCACATGATTGGGGCTAATTAATATAATTCAATTTCCATCTCTCAGCTCGTCGTCATGTGATTAAGGCAGCGCAAGTGGAGTACTTCAACATACAAAACTCCTATCCACGCCGTGCACTCTCTGCTTTTAGATGGAAAAATCAGTTCAGATGAAGAAATAACACCAACTTTATACCAGAATTGAAGCAGAAACCATAATAGTTTATGATACAACACAGTATGTATTGACCCAAATTCATTACAGCAACAAACACACAACAGGTACAAAAACCATTGCCAGATTCATATATAACAGATCTTCCTACTCTGCTATGCGAGATAGTGCTTTAATGCTATACTGAGAGAATGACAACCATTTTCTACAATCAAACAGAAAAATTGACTCTGAGCCATCATTAACCTCCTCTGGCATTGATCGATTTCCAGTCTTCCAGATAGAAACAGCCCAAAGTGCTATCTGCTGCAACCGAAAAGAGCATCAATCGTTCACTCGGCATAATTTAAAAACATTGACACCAAGATTGCAAGCTCAAATTTATAAGTTCAAAACTACCAATGCTCTATATATGTTACTATGAAATTTGGATACTTTAATTAAACAACTTAAAATAATTAAGCACATTCAATTTAGTGAATAACTTTTTTCTTATTGGAAGTTGCCATTTTATCTGCTTTCAAAAATCTAATCTCAAAATACTCCTTAAAATAGCAAGATCAAACAGCTTTCAGAAGATCGTAAGCTCTTTCTGCAAACACAGTCAAAAACTAAAATAATAAAAAGCAGTTTACTAAGCTCTTTCCATCAGCAACTTTTTCTGACAAGCAGAAACCATTGTAGTTTACTAAAATATATAATACTATGATTTGCAACAGAGTATTGTGGCAATTCAAATACCTGCAGCCTAATCAACTTGGGTTTAGGCAGACGGACAATTTAGATCTTGTCAGTTATTTAGACGCGGACATCGCTGGCTGTGTTGATTCTCGAAAATCAACTTCAGGGTGCGTCTTCATTATGGTCGGTGGGGCTATCTCATGGAGAAGTGTTAAACAGTCCTTAATAGCTACTTCTCCCATGGAAGCCGAGTTCGTTTCCTGTTTCGAGGCTACTTCACAAGGTGTTTGGCTAAAGAATGTTATCTCTAGTCTTAGAATTATGGATTATATATCTAAGCCATTGAAAGTCTACTGTGACAACTCAGCTGCAGTCTCCCTAGCTAAGAACGACAAAAGTGGAAGTCGAACTAAGCACATCGACATCAAGTTCTTAGCAATTAGGGAGCGTGTCAAAAATAAAGTTGTATTCATTGAACACATTAGTACTGAGTTGATGTTAGCAGATCCCTTGACTAAAGGCATGCCGCCATTTAAGTTCAAGGATCTGGTTCAGAAAATGGGACTTTCGTCCAATTTGTAATTTGTATATATACATTCAGTTTTAATGAAATTCTTTGGCATTCAGACATTTTCTCAATTAAGTGTGTACACCTTCATTTACTTTATATTGATGAGAAAATGTACTTCAGGAACTTGGAATAAACATAGGGTTTATTTCGTTGGGTTTTGTTTCCTAATTAAGTGCTCAATGGCAGTTTGCATTTGATCATAATGGATACTACTCGTGCTAATGAGAACATATCCTTATGGTTGGTGTTTTTCTGTTATTGAGTGGTAGTGCTTGCACCAAGTGAGAGATTGTAACGTTTTTATCCGTTACTATTAGTATAACATTAAGATAAGTTATGATAATATTCAGTATTTGATATGTGGTGCAACACTAATAACCTGATAGCTAGACTACCATTATGATTAGGAGTCTGGTTAGGGTTTAGGAGACCTAAAGACATAAAACCACAATGATGGCCAGTGGTTATATAAGGTCACTAGTCCTCTCACTGCACATAATACATACCTCATACACCATCTAGAAAGAGCTGAGTAAAGTGAGAGACAAAATACTCGTTATCTCTGCAGCAGTCCGGATCGCTCAACCGTCTCAAGAACTATGGCTGGAGGTTAGTCGGTCCTGTTATCACATATTATATGATGCATGTGATATATTTAGTCTAACACACACACACACACACACACACACACACACACACACACACACACACACATATATATATATATATATATATATATATATATATATATATATATATATATATATATATATATATATATATATATATATATATATATATATATATATATATATATATATATAGATTTAGGTTCTCGTGCGGGTGAAGGCTTCAGGTGCGGTTGTGCGGTTTAATCTGAGCCATTCATCTCGCTTTAATCAACGTCCAGGATTATAAGAGTTTTTAAAAAAAAACGCAGTGGCAATTTTGTAATTTTTGCATCTAGGTCAAAATTAAAGTGAGCGGATCTGTGATTAATGTGCGTGAGTTTTGTGCTTAATGTGCGTGTGGTTTGTGCTTAATGTGCGTGAGGTTTGTGCTTAATGTGCGTGGGGATGTGCTTAACGTGAATAGTTGTTAAAACTTAAAGTCTGTGAGTTAATACTTAAAGTGCGTGAGTTTTGTGCTTAATGTGCGTGATGTTTGTGCTTAATGTGCGTGAGTTTTGTACTTAATGTGCGTGAGTTTTGTACTTAATGTTAGTAGTTGTTGAAACTTAAAGTCTGTGAGTTAATATTTAAAGTGCGTGAAGGCTGTGCTTAATGTGTGTGTGGTTTGTACTTAATGTGCGTGAGGTTGTGCAGACGCTATCATTTGTGTAGACGCTATGTGTAGACGCTATCATTTGTGTAGACACTGTGTGCAGACGCTATCATTTGTGTAGACTCTGTGTGTAGACGCTATTATTTGTGTAGACGCTATCATTTGTATAGACACTGTGTATGCGCTATCTTCTTCCCGACACGAGTTTTTTTTTTTTTTTTTAATTTTTATTAATTTGAGCCGTTGATCTAAATTTGATCAACAGCTCAGATCTAACCGCACAACCGCACGGGAAGCTATACCCGCACCTGAATCCTTCCCTATATATATATATATATATATATATATATATATATATATATATATATGCCAAATTACAACAGACTTTTAGTACTTCATATTAAAATTTATGTGGCTTTCTACAACTTTTAACACTAATTGCAAGAAATATGGAATTAAGTAATAGAGGAAGATAAGGACAACATGAGACGAAATTGTTTAATATTAAGTGGAATTTTACAGCTCAAATATGTCTTTTTTTTTCTTTTTTTTTTTTTCTTCTTTTTTTTTTTTCTGCTCTGTTTTGTGTGTATCGAAGCCAGCTCCAAGTTGATCCAAAATAGAAATAGGTAATCCGGTTAAAGTTTCAAAAATTTGCTTTAAAAAAATTAAGTAGGGATTGTAGATCAGGTTCATGAATACATGAGTATAATTGTATTCACATTACATTCTAGTTGGCAATTATTTTTTATTTAGTTAAAAATACAAATATTACAGTATATTTTTTCTATTTGATTCAATTTTTTTTTTTTAAACATGAGCATAACTCTATCACAAAGCTATTTCTTATAAAATATAAATTATTTTAATAATGATAATAATTATTATTTATATTAAAATAAAATTATAAAGTAAACTTTATAATAGTCATAAAGATTAATAATAATTATAATAAAAGTGTAAAAAAAAATAATTTTAACTTACAATTTATTATAGAAAAATAAATTGATAAATATAACAGCTTTGATGAAGGAAACAAATTGAAGAAAAAATAATAATAATAATTATTATTTTTTTTGTAGTGTGCGCCTAGCGAGGTCAATAATTTTATTTTTTTTTGGTTCGGCCTGGCCCGCCATTGATAAATGCAATAACTCTAAACTAAAGAAATTGAAAAAAAAAAAAACTTTCTTTTGGATTGTGAATGGGTTTAACATTTTTATTGTTTGTTTCAGCTTTCAACAATCGAAATTTTAATTGGTGATTGACAAATATAATAAGTTTAAACTAAAGAAATTGAAAAATAAAAAACGTAAATGCTTTTTTTTTTTTTTTTTTATTAAAAAAAAAAAAAAGAGTCTATAGGCAGTCGTTATATTATAGATCGCGGTGCACATGCACCGCGGTCAAAAACGGCGCCGTTTCTTTAAGTAAAGAAACGGCCCGCCGTTATAGTTAACGGAATCCGCTTGTTTGGTGTATTAAACATCAACTGACACTACAGTATATCTAAACCGACACTGCAGTTATATCAAAATGATACTGTAGTTATAGTGAAATGAAACTGCAGTGTATATAAAATGAAACTGAATAACATTTCACATATTTGAGTGTATATTGTATAATGAAGCTGTAATTATATCCAAATGATCATGTAGTTGTGTTTTAATGAAACTATAGTGTATATAAAATAAAATTAAATAACGTTTCACATATTTGAAACTATAAATATCGAATGAAACTATAGTTATATCGAAATGAAACTGTAGTTGTGTTGAACTGACACTGCAGTGTATACAAAATGACACTGAAGAATAGGGGTTACTTTTTGCAAAAGGGTGCGAAACGGCGGAAAACAAACACTGTTTATTTTCATTTATATAAAAAAAAAAAAGACACGCGGTGCATGATTGATCATGCACCATGGTGCATGATATAATTTGCCCTACGAAGGTCGAGTTAAGATTTTTATTGTTTGGCCCAATCTGACCAAACCTATATTTTAATTGAACTTGCTTAGTTCAGTTCAAATAATAACCAGACAACGGTCCAACCCAACCAGACAATAGTGTGAGATGAAAAGCTAAGCGTGAGACAGAAATTGGAAATTTTCTTAAGAATAAAAATCTTATGAGATTTTTTTCTTCAAAAATGGATTATTTTTTCTTTGACTAGAATGAGTATTTTCTGTTGATAGCCAAATGGTGGAAAATATGAAAAACAACATCCAAAAAATGACTTCCCGAAATCATTTAATTTCCTAGAATTTTCAATGTTTGGCTATCAACGAAAAATACTCATTCTGGTCAAGAAAAAATGAAGTTAATGAAAAATACTTACTAAGACATATTACTTTTTATTTATAAAACATTATATTTTTATTTAAAAATTATTATATTTATCTTCTAAAATATTATCTTTCCATTGAAAATTATAACATCATGTGCATAGCTGAAATTGATTAACTTAATACTTAATTTTGTTTCATTAGGAAAAAAAAAAAAAAAAAAAAAAAACACATGGTTGGGGCAATTTCCTTCTGGCAGCAGAGCTTAGTGGCTAATTAATACGGAGTATAATTCAGTTTCCATCGATCTCTCAGCTCCTCATGTGATTAAGGCACGCAGCGCAAGTGGAGTACCTACTTCAACATACAAAACTCCTATCTACTAATTAATTCACTCTCTGCTTTTAGATGGAAAAATGAAAAATCAGTTCAGATGAAGAAATACCACCAACTTTATTATACCACAATTGAAGCAGAAACCATAATAGCTTATGAAGCAACACACTACATATTGATTTTATGAGGACTAGTCATTGTCATTTGATAGGCCTCGAACCACCGACAGTGAATCTATTTCCACTTGAAGCTTCTCTTGATACCTCGTCTGAGTACCTCCCGAATGGCAACTGCCTCCGCCACTTTGGAAGAGTAGACTCCAAACCCCATTTTTCCTCCACTTATGAGTTATGTGTATCAACTATCATTAAGCTTAATTTCACCATCCTTCAGATTGGTTTTGCTAGCTGTGGACTCCACTAACCTTCTCTGGCATTGATCGATTTCCAGTCTTCCAGATAGAAAAAGCCCAAAGTTCTATCTGCTTCAACCAAAAAGAGCATCACTCATTCACTTGGATGCCATAATTTAAAAACATTGACACCAAGATTGCAAGTCCAAATTTATATTGTCTTTATAACTTCAAAACTATCAATGCTCTATATATATTATGAAATTTGGATACTTTAATTAAACAACTTAAAATAATTAAGTGAATAACTTTTTCTTTATTGGAAATTACCATTTTATCTGCTTTCAAAAATCTAATCTCAAAATAGTTCCATATACTCCCTAAAATAGCAAGACCAAACAGATTTCAGAAAATTAAATCGTAATAACCTCTTTCTGCAAACACAGTCAAAAACTAAAATAATAAAAAGCAGTTTACTAAGCTCTTTCCATCAGCAACTTCTTCTGACAACCAGAAACCATTGCAGTTTACTAAAATATATAAATAGTATGATTTGCAACAGAGTATTGTGGCAATTCAAATACCTGCAGCCTAATCCACCAAAAGATCACTCTCTTCCTCCACATCCAATTCTTACTCTTTGTTGTTTACACGTTTTGTTTCGTCTGCAATTGATAAATTAAGTAAAAAAAAAAAAAGATAAGATAAAACACACAGCAATTAGATAGGTAAGGAAATATGAGATAGAAGTGAGAGGAAACAGATTAGATATGATGGTCATGAAGAATTCAAGTAGCATGAAGTAAGTGCATACATAATATATATTAGAGCTGAGGGATAGAAAGAGACCATAATATTTTCCGAACAAACAAGGAGGGCATTTCCATAGTTGTTGTATTGCTCTTCTTGAATCAACTTTGCGGAAGCCAGAACGGAATCCCAACACAAGTTTAACAGAATCAGTGCTAGTGTCGTGATATCCGCAAAACCACTAGGAATCTCTTGCAAGGAATCGCACTTACGTAACTCTAAACATTCTAGCACAGGGAAATTGTTACCCACAGCATTCCAACGTTCCAAAAATGTATCTTGAATTACCAATCTTTTCAATTGATGGAACCCATCCTCGGATGGTTCCCACATTGTGTCTTTGCTAGCAATAGCATTTATCAGTTTTAGAACCTCTAGATTTTGCTACATACCAATAAGCCTCATATCACTCCATGCCAAACTAGTGTCGAAGAATTTGAGCTTCTTAAGATTTGGTAGAAAACTAGTTGCCCATGAGATGCCGCTACATGGAATACGATTGACATTATGTCACCCTCTAATGCTTAGCTCCTCAAGCTGCCCCAAGTGCACAAAATTATAAAAACAAGGGAAAATGACACTTTTTCCCCCTGAGTTATATACCTATAGCATTTTTTCCCCCTAAGTTATTGAAGTGGCTGTTTTTCCCCCTGAAATATTAAATGGACATATTTACCCTTAAACTAAATATTTAATTTATTTTTTTCTCCAACAAATTATGACCATAATTTGGTTCAAACTAAACAAACACTATAGCAACCAAACCGAAATATTCCAATTACAATTTAGAATCGAAATTCGATATTTAGAGTTTATTAAAATCGTGAACCGGAACGGACGGTTCATGTTCCGAAAAAAAAATAAAATACATTTATTGTTGAATTTAGACTATTTTAAAATAAAAAATAAAATTTTAAAATAAATACGGTTCAAAACCGCGAATCAGATCCGGAACCGCCGGTTCACGATTCAAGATTCAATTTTTTTGATACATAATTTTAATAAATTGACATTTAAATATTGGGTTCTAGATCTGAATTATAAACGTAAACTATTAATTCGATTGCTTTAGTATCCGGTTCAATTCAAATCGAACCGTGGTCATCCCTACGTATACGCAATAATTTGTTGGAGTAGTAAAATAAATAAAATGTTTACTTTAAGGGTATAAATGTCAATTTAATATATCAGGGGGAAAAAGCACCACTTTTAGAATAATTGAGGGGGCTAATGTGCTTACCTAAATAATTGAGGGGGAAAAAGTGCTATAAGTATATAACTCAGGGGTAAAAAGTGTCATTTTCCCTAAAAACAATCTAAATTGTTTTCATTGTATCCACCATAAATTCCCATTTTTTTTTTTAAAATTCGGAATCCTTGTCAACAAATCCTTTGTACAGAATTAAGAATTCAACCATGATATACTCTCTAAGTTTCTATGAACAACTGACGAAGTTCTTAATGAATCAATCTGTTCAATGTAAAAAGTCCTTAATAGTGGCATGTTCCAAATTCCATATGCGTTACAGGAATTCAATGCTCCACGAACAATAAAGCTTTGCAAATTCCAATGCTCAAAGAGCTCAAACTGAAAATATCTGCTAGAAGCTGATACGCACCCAAAATAAGAGATGGTTTACTCAGAAAAAAAAAAAAAAAAGGAAGGATGCAAATCAGGCAAATCAGAATATACAAGGAAGGCTTAACTCAAGGGATTTGACAAAAATAAATAGATGCATAATCATCTCAACAATCATCTCCACAATCATCTCTTTTCTATAATTATTTATTTCCTAGCACTATAAATTAGAATCTCTAGATGAGAGTAAATCATCCAATAATCTTCCTTAGTCTTTAAGCTTTAGTAGCTAGGCAAGAGCCTAAAACTCTTGTGGGGCAAGAGCCTAAAACTCTTGTTGGGGAAAGTCTTGTGACTTCCTGTTTCTTTTCTTTAGTTTCTAGTCAATCAAAATACCTCCTTGTTCTTTTCTCTAACAAATTGGTCCGACCTGCTGCTGGATGGCGAACACACGAGATTCCCGCATAGAGACCTTAGAGAAGAACCAAGATGCAATCCGTACTGAGTTGACTACATTGACCGATCGATTTACAGCCATAGAAGCTTCTGTGGCTAGGATGTCTGATCTCATCGCTCTCTCCTTCCAAGGCGGAGGGCACAACAATGCCAGTGCTTCATCAACTTACATCCCAACGCCGAATTCAACCTCTCTCCCAGAACATGTTCAGTCGGACAACACCTCGCTGCCCATTGGAAAAACAGAACTCCCTACATTTGAAGGCACCGATCCAATTGGGTGGTTAGCTAGAGTGGAGCAGTACTTTGCCATTCATCACACCCGAGAGGATTTGAAGGTCCCAACAGCTTTTGTTAGTATGGAGGGGGCAGCTCTACATTGGCTCCGATGGCTACAACAACAACAACCCACTCTTACTTGGACTCAATTCACACATGACCTTTTGGAAGAATTTGGCGACGAATTGCCTGGGCCACCGTTTAAACAGCTTGCCGCTCTTCGTCAAACGGGCTTGGTGGATGAATTCATCGCTGCGTTTCGAGCTCGCATTGCCCAAATTCCTGGACTTGCTCCTCACATTCAATTAGGGCTTTTTCTCAATGGCTTGAAACCTGCAATTCGGGTGCGGCTCAGACCGAATGATGTGATAGATCTCCGAACAGCGATGCGTGTCGCTCGCGCGGCAGAACGAGAAATTGAATTTCTCTCAACAGGCCGGCTCCTTGGACGCAGTCTGCAAGACGAAAATACAGCGCTACAGATAATTCATTCACATAGTGGGTCTACTTGGTCTAACGGGCATGGGAAGAATTCCCAAACCAATTCTGTTTTGAATTATTCACAGCCCAAACCCATTCCAACCCAGTCTCAATTCTCTAGCAGCAATCAAACATCTTCCTTCTCCTCCCAAACGCAACCTGCGTTTCCTGCTATGCAGTCTTCAGTACGCAATTCCAGCACATCAACATCACGAGCTCCGGCACGACATTATTGTAACAAAGAGTATCTGGACATGCGCGCCAAAGGACTTTGTTTCCGTTGTCAGCAACCGTACAGTCCGCTTCATGTATGCCCGAATAAATCCTTGCAAACTCTAATTGCAGCAGAGGATGACGAGGACGAAACGAGCGACGAGCCTGGTGTAACTGACCAAATCGACACCGGACAATATAGGGCAGTCTTTCCAATCTAGCCTTGGGGACAAGGCTGTTTCTTTGGTGGGTGGCAATGATACGCACCCAAAATAAGAGATGGTTTACTCAGGAAAAAAAAGGAAGGATGCAAATCAGGCAAATCAGAATATACAAGGAAGGCTTAACTCAAGGGATTTGACAAAAATAAATAGAGGCATAATCATCTCAACAATCATCTCCTTTCTATAATTATTTATTTCCTAGCACTATAAATTAGAATCTCTAGATGAGAGTAAATCATCCAATAATCTTCCTTAGTCTTTAAGCTTTAGTAGCTAGGCAAGAGGCTAAAACTCTTGTGGGGCAAGAGCCTAAAACTCTTGTTGGGGAAAGTCTTGTGACTTCCTGTTTCTTTTCTTTAGTTTCTAGTCAATCAAAATACCTCTTTGTTCTTTTCTCTAACAGAAGCCCAATTTGTTGAATACCTCAAAGCTAAGTATCTTAAATGAATAAGATTTTCAAGCGCATATAGTACCCCATCTCCATGGGAAGATATACGCTCTATGTCTACTACTCTTAGTAGTTTGAAGTGTGAAAATAGACATTTCACGCTTACAGAGGGCATAAGAGTAAACACCATAAAGAGAGTGTAAGGAATGTGATTTGTCAAAGCACTTTGTCAAAGGAGGTATATACAACTCTGATTTAGCACTTATCCAACGGCAAGGGATTTTCTTCTTGTAAAATGGAAATTTTTCATCTCTAATGACATTCAAGAGATTTTCATGTTGAGCTTCTCTCAAACACAAATCGTGCAACATGTCATGTATTCTTATTGCCTTCATTTGCCCATTGTAGCTTTGTTTGCTAACAAAAACAAGACTTCTACCAACAAGATCTTGCAAGCACTCCATGCCCACTTCCTCGCTATTTCGATGGTCCTCTGCCCTCAAAAATCCCTCCGCCGCCCACAACCTAACCTAACTTCTTCACATGAATCTCATAGTCTTCGGGAAAAACTCCAAAATATAGAAAACAAGCTTTTAAGTGGTGTGGTAATTGGTTGTAACTCAAATATAGTATTTTGGAACATGCATAATTAGAATCACCAATTACATATCTACTCACATTTTCTACAACATTATTCCACTTCTCCACTGCCGCTTCTGTCTTGGAGAGAAGACTAGCTATTACAAAGATAGCTAGAGGTAATCCATTACATTTCTTCACTATGTTTCTACCAATTTGCTCAAACACTGAAAGAAATTCCGTTTGACCAAACACATTGCAGAAGAGATTCCAACTTTTATTGGCATCTAAGAAAGACATGTTAATGGTAGAGTTACCTGAACTTGCATATTCAGCCACCTCCCTAAGCCGAGAAGTCAATAGTGTACGGGTTCCGTTATTATCATTCGGAAAACATCTTTGCACACTATCCCAAGCAGTAGTGCTCCATATATCATCCATCACTATCAAATATCTCTGCTCCTTCAAGTGTTTACGCAGACTTTCTGCAAAGTTGTCATTTCTTTGTTCATGGAGTACATCATTTGATGTTGCATTAACACAATCAATAAGGCATTGGAGCATTTGTTCCACATTATACTCTTGAGATACAGTAACCCATGCTCGTTTGTCAAAATGAGAAGTAATTGATGAACCTTCATAGACTTTCCGAGCTAAAGTGGTCTTGCCAATTCCTCCCATGCCTACAATTGATGAAACTTGTAGCTGCTTCGCTGATTGTCGAGTGAGCTGATCCATTATCGTCTTAAACTCCTCGTCGCATCCAACCATTCTACCATCAAACTTTGAAGCACTTTTGGAAAATTTACTCACAGTAATATTTTGGCGTTCTGGATGAGGATGCGATGATGTTGAACCAAGGAGTAGTCCTCTTTGTTGCATCCAACCAAGGAGTGAAACGCCAGTGATTGATGAACCTTTTGCAAACCGGTGTTTACTTTTAATCTCAATCAACTTCTTCTTGATGTAATCAGTCTGTTTTACTGCTTGCTGGAAGATTCCATGAAGCCTGCAGAGGGTTCCACGAAGCCTGCATGCGGAGGCCAGCCTCCTCTATACTGCTTGATTGAAGATATATGCTACTCAATTCCATCTCAATCCTTTCTTCAGCTTCGAACGCTACATCTCTCATCTCTGCCTCTAAATCTTTCATCGCCGAATTATTATAGATGATCTCAGATTTCTCAAGAATATCTTGGAGGAAACCAAGATTTTCATGGAGAGAATTAAGTATCTCTTGGTTTTGTTGAAGAGGGAAGCGTGGTTGTGATTGCAAGAAGTGTAGATGGAGTGTTCCTTTAAGTGAAATTACAGCAGCATAAGCCATTTGCCTCTGTGTATGTGGTAAGTTGATCGATGATCAGATCAGAACTGACTAAGAAGAAATGAAAGATGTGATACAATCAGTTTAGACAGCAACTCTCTCGTCAACGCTAAAGTCTAAACAACCATCATTTTAAAATTATATTATTCTCAGATAATTTAATATCAAATATTTCTATCCCATGACGATTCTGTCCAATTATTTTAATTAAGATTACAAATAATTAAACTCTTTTGATTTATATTTATATTTTAGTTCATTTGGTGGTTATATACAATATTTAAATATAGTTATATGCAGGAGAAATATAATTACATTTCTTGTTATAGATCAGAGTTATACCCTGAGTGTTAGTACGAAAATATTTAAAGTAGTATAATTATGAAGATAATTATATTAGTTTAATACGGAGTATATTTGAGGCCTTAATTACGTGAAAGCTAAGGTGGTTAAAGAAATATGATTAACTCCCTATTTACATGGTGAAGACATGGGATTAACTCCCTATTTACAAGGTGAAGACATGGGATTAATTCACTATTTATATGGGATTAGTTTTCCTATTTTTAGGTGTTCAAGACCCTATAAATAGGTAACTGTGTAATGAAGAAAAATTGAAGTTTTCAAAACGGAAAAAATAGTAATATTATTCTGAAAGTGCTACAAGGTATTATTTGGAAGGCGCTGCAAGAAAACTTCAAAACAGGAAAGATTTGTGTACTATATGAGAAATCGGCTTTACTTTATATCATCAGTACGAGCTGTGTTAAAATCCAAGTTGGTTACAGTTTGTTTAATTGGTAGAATTAGTTCAAAATGTACTTGTAAACTTTTTCATAGAGTTGTTTTATGATGTTAATTCTTCTAAAGGCTAAACCCCAACCCTAAGGGCCCCCCACACTCCGACCCGACAGAGTATTTGGGAGGATGTAAATGTCACGCCCCACCTCTAGGACATGACCCGGCCGTATCGTTACATGAGGACTTGTAACAATACGTAGCCTAACCATACATACCTCTCGGAACCTTCATAATAACACTTGAATACATAATAATTCCACAACTAAAATGGCAAAATATAATCAACTAGTTCTTCTCAAAACTCATCAAATCCACTATTAAATATTTATAATCAAGAGTAGTGTGTCCAAAATGAATCACAAGCACCAAACCAAACACAATGGTTTACCAAAAATACAAAGGGTCAAAGAGAATAACTAAATAAATAAAAGTCTGTGATAAGCTCCAATACTAGGAGTAAGTCTCCTAATTTCAAGAGTCACCTTCAAGACCCCACCACTTGTGCTCGTGCTATTCACATGTCCTTAACTAATCTGAAACATTAGGAAAAATACAAATAATGAGCTAATGCCCAGTAAGTGGTACTCTTCTCACCCCGGATCAAGCAACCGTAACATAATACGCTAAGCTTTAGAGTAATAATTAGATGCAAATCTTGATCTTTAAACCTTATCGAAGTCATAATACTTTCATCATACTATACACAAGTTCCCAAAACAGAAAACTTTAGCTACATGGGCATCATCATTATTTCATAATACAATACTTTCAAAAGCACAAACCATTCCTTAACATATTACTCATTGGCAACCTACAACCACTATTATAACACGTGGCAAAGGCCATTCTCGGCATAATTGTTTAGAAAGACTCGACGATTCGGAATGAGTCAGGCTCGACGATTCAGAATGAGCCGGATGGAACGTTCCAATAAATAATAATTCAAAAGACTCGACGATTCAGAATGAGTCAAGCTCGACGATTCGGAATGAGCAATTAGGAATGTTCCAAACCGAACAAAACAAACAACAAAAGGTAGGTTGCCTCATGAGTTTGACCGAACATTCAAAATAGTTCATATAAACAAATAGCCCGATGTAGCAAAAATCATTTTCTTAAAAACCACATAACAAGTACATAGTCTATTGTACCAAGTTTTTCAAGTCACATATTTTCTCAAGATACATAATATTTCTAATTATTGATAATAAATTTATCAAACTAAGAAATATGCAAGGTATAAACCCTTACAAAAATGATAATTTTCTTAGTACATAACTCGATCTTTAAAAATCGTATAATACTTTATTACACTAAAATAGTTTCAAAAGAGTTGAACTAGCTTATTGGAAAGAACTTAAATTATTAAACATAAGGTCAAGGGTTCAAGTCCTACTTTAAATAAATAATCCATTTTGTAAGCATAATATATACAAAACAAACACATAGAATGCTGGCAATTGGAATCGAACCCACAACCATACACTTGCACAGCAACGCTGTAACCAATCCACCATCAATACACATAGTGATGACTTACGTCCAGAACATATACATCTTATTCCAGTCTAAAACACAGTCCGGGCTGACCCAAACACAAATTCAATCCCGAATACAGCATAACAATTTCAATCCAGGCTTCAGAATACATTGCTCAGTATTTTCAGACCCAAAAACATATCATAGCCCAAAATATTTTAAACTCATACTAACCCTAAAATGGGTATTCAAAATAGTAGAGATTTCAAAATAGGTTATACATGGGTTTCGCAAAATAAGGAGAGAAGAGTTAACCACTTACCTAAAAACATCGAAATCTTAGCTATTAAGCTCGCCCAAATACTCCTTGTCAAAATCCCTAATATTTTCAAACATTAATCTAATGGCTCAAATGATAAACCTAACTCAAAGAGTGAAATATGGAGGTCAAACTTACCTAGAATACTCCAATAGCTTGAGATCTAAGCTTGAAGAAGAAGGAGATCAAAGCTTCAATGTTTTCCTTCCCCTATCTCTCTCTAGCCAATATTTTCTTTTTCTTCTTTCAAATGAAATGTTCTTCCAAGATAAAAGGAATTCCTTAAGCTTTAAGGATAGAGAGGGGCAAGTTAGTAATTTACCCAATATCATCTTTTAATAAGTTTTGACTTGTTGACCTCATTTAATAACATAGATATATCTTTATTTCTAAAGTAGTGGGTATTACAATCTCCCCTCCTTAAAATAAGTTTCGTCCTCGAAACTTACATACCGTTAAACTTGAAGAGTTCAGGATATCTATCCTTCATATCATCTTCGTTTTCCCATGTTGCTTCTCTTTGGGTATGATTTGATCATTTCACTTTAACAAATGGGATTGCTCGGGACCTCAATACTTTGTTCCTTTCGGTCAATGATGCGAGGAGGCACTTCTTCATAAGTTAAGTCATCTCTGATTTGGAGTGGTTAATACTCCCCCACATCACTCGGACCTGCAATGTACCTTCGTAGCATTGATACATGGAATACATTATGAACTCCAACTAGTTATAGTGGTAGGGCTAGCTCATAAGCCAAACTACCAACTCTACTCAAAATCTCAATGGTCATAAGTAACGTGGACTTAATTTCCCTTTTCTCCAAACCCTATTACTTCTCGAGTTGGTGAAACCTTTAAATATACCAAATCTCCAGCTTTGAATTCTTATTCTTTTCTTTTCAACTCAGCCCAGCTTTTTTGTTTGTCTTGAGAGTCTTTAATTCTTTTCTTAATTAATTGAACCTTCTCAACTGTGAGTTGTACAAGTTCTGGCCCTAAGATTTTTCTTTCTCTAACTTCATCTCAATATAAAAGAGATCAACATTTCCTTCCATATAAAGCTTCAAAAGGTGTCATTCCTATATTCGATTGGTAGAAAATGTGCAACCTTATTGAGTCGATCCACAATAACCGAAATTGCATTTTCCCCGTGCTGACTGTTAGGTAATCCAATCGCAAAATCCATAGATATACGATCCCACATTGAGGTACCTCTACGGGTTTCAATAATCCTGCAGCTCTTTGGTGTTCAGCTTTGACTTATTGACATATCATGCATCTAGCCACCAAGTCGGCAATGCCCCGTTTCATACCACTCCACTAGAAATTATTTTTCATATCTCTATATATTTTGGTACTACCTGAATATATCGAGAAGTGAGACTGATGGGCCTCCTTTAAAATATCCTTCCTTATCTCAACATCATTTGAAATGCATAGTCAGGACTTGAAATATATAGATCCATCATCATGAACACTGAACTTCTTTGGGTCACCCGCTTGAATTTTTATTTTTTTTTTTCGAATCTTAATCAGCTCGGGATCTAAAACTTGGGCAACTTTAATGCGATCTAATAATGCCGATTTTGCAGTCATAGCGGCCAATATCCCTTGCTTATCTTGCGAAAAAAAACTCAACTTCTAAATCTTGCAAATCTTTCAACAATTGGGTTTGAGTGGTCACCACTGCCACATTAACCGTGGAAGACTTACGACTTAAAGCATCAACTTCCACGTTAGCTTTACGCGGATGATAATTAATAGAGAGGTCATAATCTTTTATTAGCTCTAACCATCGTCGTTGTCTCATATTTAATTCCTTTTGGGTAAAGAGGCACTTCAAACTCTATGGTCCGTAAATATTTGGCAAGATTCTCCATACAGGTACTGCCTCCAAATTTTTAAAGCAAATACCACAGCTGTTAGTTCTAAGTCATGAGTGGGGTAATTAACTTCATGGGGCTTGAATTGTCGAGAAGCATAGGCTACCACCTTATCATTTTGCATCAACACACATCCTAATCCTCTTCTTGATGCAACACTATAAAT